TACTGAAAATGCAGCTGTGTTAGAGGATACACATTCTTCATTACTCTGCATATCCTGTGCCCGTGGTACACTCAACTCTATATTTAGCAGTGAGTACTCTACAGTTTGTGAAGTTTAGTTTGGACAGGAAACACAGATAACTCAGGAGGCGTTATCTGTGGAGAGAACTCCCCTCTTACTAAGCATGTACTGAAAGTGTCTCATAAAACCGAGGAGATCGACTTGGATAAACACCTGGAACACAGCCTTGACGCTTCTTCCTGCAACCATTTACACCTTGTAGTATGTCACTGAAATACTTTGCGTTACTGTCAGTACGTAATTCAGAAGTGACAACAATGACTATTATGTTCATTTATAGGTTTCGTCTTTTCGGACCCAACTCTTTTGGTTCTGCCACAACCTTAAATCAATCCATACCTGCTTGAAAATCAAGGATTTCAAGTTAGTTTCTATACTCTATACTCTACTCATTGTCCACTGTAAAGGAATGGAGTTTTGACTCCAGTGAAAATATCTACCAGAGGGAGCAGAAAGCTGATCAGGAGCCATAATCTGTCATGTTTCATAAAGGTCCCACACATGGATCAGAACATTAATAAATGGAAATAAATAATAAATGATTCAAAGGTGAGATTTGAGCATCTTTATAATTCACAAAAGCATTTAATAGCAAAGTAAGCCTATGTGCAGTGGATTATGTACTTAGGTAGGAAGAATTAAAAAGGCAGCATGGTACATGGAGATGATGGGACAAATGAACCAGCATGCATCATGGTGTTAAAGAGATCAGATGGATGGATAGGTCAGTGATTGTATTAGTTGTCCTAACAACAACTTTAAGAACCAAGAAGTCACTAAATCCTTCCTCAGAATTAAAGAGAATTTTCAGATGAGTGGTGGAGAATCTTCTAATTCAGAAATCCAGCGTTCTTCTACAAAATCATAACAGACTGTCCAGGATGACTAAGAACCTATAAAATATGACCAGATGTGCTCTTACATGGGTAATAGAATCACCAACCTTTTTTTTTTTTTTTAAAGCAGTGAGTTTTACGAAATCTGTAGAAGATGTGAAACTATTCAGATTTAAACTCATCTGGTTCCAATCTCAATGCCTCCATCACGTTTTAAATGTTCATTGATTTTTATCTATAGAGCACTTTGTCACAGCTACTGTTGTTATTATTGCGCTTTATAAATACAGCAGCAGCAGTTGTTGTATGGGTACAGAGATGCTGCTGTAATAAAAAGCAAAGCCGAAAGGATTGTTTGCAACTTGATCAGGACCAGATGCTGTGGGAACCCCAGGTGTTGCTCTCTGTACCCTGGATGATCAGAGCTGCTTTGGCGGACTAAAGGAAGCATGACCTCCAGCACCACCAGAGCTGTACTGAGGAAGCGTCACACATAATTCACATTTCATTCTTCACCATGCCAGTGTCTCTGGGTAGGCGTTTAAAAGGAGGTTGATATTGTGTTTGATGAAGAATTTCTCTGTTGATTGGTTCATAGATTTGGGATAATTATCCCACCAAACTGTCAACCTAATTTAATTTGAGATTAATTGGAATTATGCTCAGAGTACATTATGACATCTTGGTGACCATTTTTCAAACATTTGCAGCAACAATTATACAATTGCAAAAAGCTAAATTCATTTTTTGGACTTTTTGCACATCTTTACCAGGGGTGTTGACAAAGTTGCCTACATCTGCATTTTATTTCTTTGCCTGGCCAGTGACTTTGAATCCCTTCTGAATTAAATTGCATAAGAGTGGACAAGTCATCTGTTAGGCTCAGTTTCCACTAGCACCTACTCAGCTCAAGTCAAATAAGTTGAATAAGTTAACTCTAGCACACTGTGTTAAAAAAGAAAATAATAATAATTCTTCAAGATTCCATATTGTTTTGCCTGTTTGCCACACCTACATATTTCAGAACAAAAATATATGTATACAAAAGAAAACCTCAGAAAACAAAAAACAGCTACTTTTGAAAATCCAAGAAGTAAGGTAATCTTGATATTGTTCATGCTAACTATATTAATCGCATTAAACACTAAAGACATTGTAAAGTTCAAAATGTCAGCTGTCTTTGGTTTAAAGTAGTCGTAATAACCTGTTTCACAGAAAATGTTTCCTCACAGGAGCCACAGGACGTCACCTCTGCTTCTAGTAGAAGTAATTACTGACTCTTCATGACAGAATTACTAAAAAAAATAAAAAAAAACAATGTTTTTCCATCATACTATTTTCACAACTATAGGTTGTTTTAATAAAATAATCTATTTCCAACCTGTTTTGGTGGGCTGCTGTCCAGGTCACTCTCATCAATGGTTGCCAGATCTGACTCATAATTTTCAGTCCAAACACAATGTAAAAACTTCCCAACTCCAAGAAACCCAGCCAGAATTCAAATCCCTGTTGATGTGATCTCAAACTCCTCAAGGGTCCATATCCTGCAATATATTAAATATTACAACATATATATTACAATATTATTGTAATCCTCAAATCACAACATTTTTATGTTGTCTCTTGTTCTGACCTGAACTATTTCCCAGTGAGACTGCAAAGGACTTGAGTCTTGGTAAACAAGGAGACTTGTATTTGTCATGTCGCTATGTCATTTTAAATGATAAAATTAGTGAGATTTCAGTTGTTTGATGCTATTTCATAGGGACACTTCATTAACCAATATTAGTCAATGATGATGTGACAGATTCAAGACATTTCAAAACAAAATAAAATGAGTGCAAGGACAAGGCATTTTATAAGAATTCACAAGTTTTGGGTATTTCCGCCACACGACAATTACAAGAGAATTTTCTAATATACACTTCCTAAAAACCTGCCAAATGTTTTGACAAGCAGTCCAAATTTTAACAACCCACCTAAAACTGTTTGTCCAGGCCCAACGGGTTCCAAAGAAGCCCAGTTGGGCAGAAACCCGCCCAATCTGGCAACACTGCTCTCATTTTTATTGCTTACAAGAAAGAAAACCTGATCTTTGGAAAGTTGTTATGTGGAAACTGACTTTTACTTTTTTAGGTAAGTGTGAAGAAATATGTCTTCAAACAGAGTGCAGGCTGGGTAACTGATCCATATTCTGGTTACCAATTAGCCAGATAAAATGGTCTTTCATTGTATAAAGAGTAGAACAGCAGGAAATTATAGTACTCATTATAATCAGGATAAGCATGCCAGTTTAGATGTTTCTACTAAACGAACCTGGTGTTTATTACATGCTTTACTTTTCAATCACTGCTGACAGCTAATAAAGAAATGTGAGACATTTTGTTTTAGCTTATTCTCACTGTATCTCACTAACTAGAGCTGAAGTAAAAAAAAACACACAAAAAAAACAATCTATAAATATGAGAATAACAATATCTAATACCTTGTCATGAAACATAACTGGACTCATAGCACACATTAAATATGTAATAGTCACCATATTTTAGCAGAAGCAAAGTAATAGTTGCTCTTGTTTTAAACAAAAGCCATTTGATCATGTTTAACACGTTTTGTCTCAACCATCTGTGGTATTTTACTCCATTAACGCCTATACTGTGGGAATCTTGCATCGCCCTTTGGTTAACAGTAAAAAACAATTAACTGTAAAAACATAATCAGTGCATTGTCTGTCATTGCAGTTTTTAATTTGGTATGTAGAAAAAAATATAACCATTTCATATAATAGATGAAATGGCTGTATGCTTACAGCCATCATTTTCCATGGTTTCTATTTTCTGAAAAATAAAAATATCCTCTGATTGAACAGAAGTGATGAATTATTTCCCTCCTTTCTTCTGCTATCTCAGATTTGACCCTTTTTAGGCTAAAAAAAATTATACTTTAGCAAACCTAAAGAGATTAACAGCACTTATATGCAGCCCTTAAACATAACGCTATCTGCACACACATGAATGAGAAGAGGCAGTGGAGGTGTTGTAGTGGTTTACATCATCCGTCAACAGAAAGGTCCCCGCCTTGTGGCTGTGATCGTCTCATTGAAATGTCCAGGTCCAAATAAAAGAATCTCATTTCCTGCCCAGCAGCATGCAGCGGTAACATTCCTGGAACATCCAGCTGCAGTCTGACATGGACACAGCTGCCTTCATGCCTCTTTTACTGCCGCATGCATTTGATGCATTGGCCGCTCCTTCAAAACTACAGACTGTGTAATAAGGAGCAGAAAGAGGCTTTCATCAGAGGTAAACTGATGAGAATAAGAACAATCACCTGCCAGACACTGCGTTCCTATTCACCCAATCTAATGTAGTTGGAACTGAAGCTTGGCAAACAACGTCACGCAGCCCTTCATTTAAAAAATGACTAATTTCTTAAAATCTGCTCTACAGAGACACACTTCCAGCTGCAAACTGCATTTGAAATCAGGTTTGCTGCCTTATAAAAATTTTCCTTCAATTCGTCGTAAGAAAACACAAATTATAACATCTTATTTAAATAATATTTGCACGTTTCTGGATGGGTCGTATCGGACGCTGCCGCCCTCCTAGGTGCGCTTTGCCGAATAAGAATCGTCAAGAAACTGCGGATAAAGCAAGGTGGAAGTTAAAATTATGCAAAGGCAACGTGTTGTTTCCGATGCTAATTAGCGCCGAATACATGCGGTTGCTTTGCTGTTTTTGGATAATTAGTTGACAAGAAACAGAATGTTGTATTATTAAGGAGGTACAAAAATAAAAATGATTTTTTTTTTTCAATGGAGTCCGGTCCGCTCATTCCCACGAAAACATCACGTATCAGACTCGAATTGCCTACCCAAAATAAAAGCCTTTAGTTGCCCAGGTGAAACGCGAGCTAAATGCAAAAATGCCAAGTTGATTAAAAACATACATCAGATTTAGAAACATGCAATGTCATCAGATCAGATTCGGGCTTCAGTAAAGAATTCTTCAAGCATCTGAGAAGCCACAGAGAACAGCAAAGCAGAGACAGACAAGAAGCAACAGGCGACACAAGACCGCTCACCTGCTGACAGGCTCTAACAGCTGAGGCAAAACGCTCTTCTTCACATGGATGTTCAGAAAGCTGCGATGGCAGCCTTGCGCTTCAGGTGTCCTCCACCTCCTCATGAAGAAGTAGCACGGCGCTTTCGCATCTTTTAGTCCATACCTCACACTATGAAACACCGCATCGGACTGAATGGCAAGACAGGGAGGGGTTCGTTCATGAAGTCACCGTATGACAAAGACAACCAGGCTGAGCTTTCAGCAGAAGCAGCTGTCACGACGGAACACCCAAGGTGCTCTTAAATCCAGTAAATTCAAAATGACAGTGTCAACAATAACAGGCCAAAAAAGCACTGATTTAGTTCACAGTGGGTTTAGGGTAGAATCAATCAGCATGTGGCACTTCTCACATGAATCTCTTTGATAAGATATTTTGGTTTCCACAGAAGAGGACACTTGGTCCAATCCTGAAACACTTGAAATACCATATGATCAGACTCATCATGTTCTGTTTACTTATAGAGGACTTTTGATCTTAGCTTACTTAAAGTGATTTCGCTACATTTGTTTCTGCACAGCAGTACAATCGAGTTCAGGCCCAGACTGCCATTACGCCATGACAGCACTTTGTTTTGGATCATGTTGTGGTTGATTAGCTGCTGTGTTTGGCATTATATTTTGTTATAAATGATTTTTTTCTGTTGAAAAGAAAACTGGATGACACTCAAGATTCCTTTGGGCCAATCATCAGCCAGCTGCTGTGCTTGACAGATGGTTTGAAGTGTGTGGTTTTGGTTTTCTGCAAACTGGATTCTGTACATTATTGTCAAGTGTGTCTACTTTGGTCTCATCTGTCCAAAGGATATTGTTTTCCATCCATATGTAAGTTTTCATGCCATTTTTTTAAGACAGAAACTCCTTCATCCTGTTAATTGTCTAACTGTGCTGTGATGTACATTTTAACATGCTCACTTTATGTTGCCTACTTTAAGAAAAAAAAAAACACAGAAAAACAAATGTAGTTTTCTGACTGGTAGTAGTTTACAGTCTCAGACAAAGAAGTCAATCAAAAGTGATTATTATTAATCTGTGATTCCATTTTTACAACAAATGAAAACAACACCTTAATTTCTCCTTTTGTTCTTGTAACGATGTCTGAAGATGTTTCTATCATAATACAACACTCTGCTTATCATGATGCTCAGTAAGGCTTTGGCAACTCTGTTAGATGTTCCCTGTGTTTCAGCTGAACTGTTCATTTGTCACAACTGCATCCGTGAAAACATCATTAGCACAAGATGAGTTGATATTCCAGAGTGAGAGGACCAAACCCTGCTGCAGCTCACATCATTTAGTGCTTCTCCACTGATGTTAAAAGGCAGATAATAGCAGCCGAGTCAGTTTCATTTACAGAGTACCTGTTTTCACCAAGAGGTCAGTATTCCCGCAACTGGAGATGATTATAATGTAATGCATGGATTGCATAGAGGGGGACCAGAGGAGAGATGAGTGATTTAAAATGGTTTTCATGTGAGCTACAGCTCATTATAACATTCACCTAGTTTTAGATACACAATGGTTACATACCTGCTGAAATGTTCCATTGTTTATTTTAGTTTTAAAGTAAACTAAAATAAACAGCACAATCTTCAATTTATTTTATTGGGACTTTATGTGATAAAACGAAATATAAAGCGTCATGTATGGAGAGCTAAATCGAAGAGGAGAGAGAGGAAGAGGAAGTTCAGACCTTCTCTTCCATTAATCATAATGGGTAATATGAAATCACTGGCTAATAAGCTGGATGAACTCCAAGCCCTCATAAGGACTCAGACAGAGTGTCCCTGATGCTGCTTCTTGTGTTTTACTGAAACATGGCTGCGGGTCACATCCCAGACTCCAGCATCTCTCAGGCTTCCTGACTGTATGAGCAGCGACATAAGAAAAGGAGGTGGATTAGCAATGCTTGTCAACAACATATGGTCTCATCCAGGACATGTTACTGTGGAGTGTGTTCTCTACTGAACTCGTAGGATTAAGTTTCCATCTATATTATTTACCAAGAGGGTTCACCAGTGTTATTTGGGCAACCGCTTACCATTGTACCTTCAGCTGTTGCCGACAGAGGTCATGTGACGCCATCAATTCAGACACAACACCCCAGTGCTTTGTCCCAAACACCTTTTATCAGAACTGTGAAAAGGTGTTCATATGAAGGAGAAGGAGCCCTGCAGTGATGTTTTCAGGCTGCAGACTGGATTGCTCTGTGCCAGCCACATGGAGAGAACCATGACAGGGTGTGTGACTGACTGTATGAACTCCTGTATGGACAACACCATCCCCACCAGAATAGCGCGATGGTTCCCTAATTACAAATCCTGTATCACCAGTGAGCTAAAGGAAGTGTCAAACAAGAACAAAAACCTCCAGGGACGAAGACAATGCTCAGAAAGACTGAGAAGTTTATTTTACAAGTTTGCTTTCATTGAGAGTTCTGGTCAACAATCCTTGGTCCTTGATCAGAACTGAACATCCATAATTCTGATGGAGGAAAGGCGAAGCACTGAACTTATGTTAGTTTTACCTCTAGAGGCAACCTCGAGACAAAATTGAGAAATAATTACCCAGAATGACTGTTCCGAGGTTCAGTCCTAGTAACCACAAAGACCCTACAGAGAAGAGCAACACCGCCTCATTACCTATCAGTCTCCTGCTTCTGTACAACACAGAAGCTCCTGCCTGGAATCATGTGATGGTAAATAAGAGTAAGAATGAACAAATGTAAGTGAAATCCAGAAAAGAATTGACAGAAACACAAGAGGAACTGATTACTAAGCACAAAAGACAAAGACCTGTCCACCACAAGAAACATTATGATCTGTGGCCGTTCATGTAGATCCTCAGCCCTTCGGCCCTGAATCCAGAGCTACAGCAAAGGTTCCCATCAAGTGTGACATTTATTTAAAGAGACAAGTCTGTCAGATTACTGTTTAAATGATACAACTGCTGCACTGAACCTTCTCACTTCGCCATTACATTGATTTCTGATGCCCCTAGTCCCAACAAGTCCACATGTTATGCTAATCTGATACCAATAAATTTGTATAATTGCAACAAAATGACCTGTGACATTATAGAGTCAGCATTTTCTTGATTTTATAGGGGAAATTATTCCAATAAAAAGAATAAGACATGAGCTTCATATCAAGTCCATTTTCTTCTAAAAAGGATAGACTTTAAATACATTGTCTGAAGCTCCTGCAGTGACATATTATTTTCATTAAATGCTTTGTCATCACAACCATTAACTGTAAGTGGGTCCTCAGGGGTGAGATTCAGTCACAGCTGACACTTCACAGTCAATCAAAGCACTGATATGAACACTAACCTGCCATTTATGCTCACATTCATACCTACTGGTAACATAGACATCAGGTTGAACTGCATGGCTTAATATTCAATGGGAAATGAAGGATTTACAGGTATCTATGGTCTATCACCATCTTTAATAACTCTTTGATGAATCTGAATTAATGATCTGCAACAACACTTCATTTCCCTTTGGGATTAATAAAGTATTTTTGAATTTGAATTGACTGAATAGGACAGCAATGATTTATTTTGTAAAATCAGAGCAGTTCTTTAAGTGACAACACAATAGGTTTTTGTCTTAATTTTATTTACTCTAAGCCAGGTGTCAGGATAAAATCAATCTCACAAAATAAAAGATACGTGACATGTGCAGACTTGTTCTTTAAAACACAGAGTGCCTGCATATGAGGAAGTTCTGGATGAAGAGAAAAACGTTGACCTTTGAGTAGCAATGAACACAACTGCTCTCTGACTGGGAAAAACTAAGTTCTTGCAGATTCTGGTACCAGTAATGTCATTATTTGAAAGCTTAATTTCACCTGAATACAGAAAAAAAAATTTAACTAAGAATTGTGCTTCAGATGAAATTATATTGTTAAACAGATAAATCTGTAATTTATCTGTTTAAATTAAGGATATATTAGAATATAATTATACATAAGGGGCCTAATCTGCAGCGATTCAAAATAAGAAGTGCTAAATTACATGAGCAAAAGAAATTGCATGCACTGTCCTCTTTAATGAGGATTCTTCTTGTGCTGCTTGCAGTCATTATGGTGAGTGTCAGAGAGAGTGGCCATGAAAGAAAGATGAATGTCATTATGCTGGAGGTATAATAATAATAATAATAATAATAATAATAATAAATAAACATCCAATGTAGTTCAAAAAACAGTGAACGTATTTAAAAGTCAATCAAATTAACATTTTATTTTGTTTTGCACATTAGATTCATTCCTCCTTGAATGAATGTATTACCCCTGCCTCATTCTTCTGATGCAATATCCTGTTTGTGTGCTATTTGTAGATTACGTTTGCTCATTCTATTGAGTTTGCACATGTTTATGTACGTGCAAACCTTTAGAAGAGTTTAATACTTGGATTTTGTGGTTACCACACTGGGTGAAAGTTGTTCTGGTCTTTACAACCAGAAATCAGATGATGACTGGATAGGTGATTAGAGAGTGAGGCAGCTGTGGATCAGGGTAGAGAGTCTTCAAGTCCAGGTTCACCAACCACACGGCACTATTCTCCTTGGAGAAAGACCTTCACCCCACGTTGCCTAGCAGTCTGTGTGTCTGTGTTTGAATTTAATGTAGAAGGACAGTGACAATGTGTCCAGAATGATCGGTAAAAGTTTAGTCTGTTTACCAAGCAGACTGAACTCATAACTACTCCTGGAGAACGACACACACACAAAGTAAGGGACTGTGTTGAACTACTCCTGCAGTGTTTAAGTAAACGTATTTGAAGCTGTTTTATGCATCTAAAGCATGTTTGCATGTAATGTTTAGTCTTAGTGTGTGTATGCGTACATGTGTGTGCGTGAGCGCGCATGTGCGTGTGTGTCTGTACTGTCCTCCTGAAGCCCAGCTGGACATCTGCCCAGTGTTTCTGTCTGCTGGACTGTTTTCCTTTTTGAAAAGAGTTTTCCTTATCAGCATGACGAAAAATGTTTTTCTTTACAGAATTTTATTTTCTCTGCAGCTTATTAGCATTTTGAAGAAAGAGACATTATTTTAGAAAGAGTCATATATTTTCTATACAGTTCCACAATGAATGAATGGATAATTCAGAGTCTGCAACTGAAGTTACCTGGCATGCAGGCTGAGAATGGCCTTTTATTATGTAGCAATTACATATGAAAGAAGAGAGGATTATTCAACCATTTAACCTGCTGATCTTCTCATATCATCCTCCTGGGAAAGATCTCACCCTCCACTCATACCAGGATAATTCCCCCCTGATGGAAACAGACACCTTTACTGTTACTGTCATGTTGAGGTTAA